AATTAACAATTTTTTTGGTGCCGGCGGGGATCGAACCCGGGTTACTCGCGTTCTGTTATATTTATAGCGAGCGTTAACCATCTGAGCTACCACGGCTCTTTAACCAGATTTGCAGGAAAATGCCTCAGAGCTCTTCTTTGCCGCATATCCCAAGCTTGCTAATGGGAATATAAATCGGGGGATTGTGCTGGTCATTCTAGGGCCGTGATATCATGTTCATGCAACACTGGCTGAAAGTGAACGGACATTGTCGTGCTAAAACAGAAAATTTTGACTTATTTGTATTCGATGTAGCAATAATATTGGTTCAAGAACCTCACTACGGTATTTTTTAGCCGATATAGTGCCCTGTATCCTAACGAGGTACTCACTTCTTCCACCAAAATGATTTCCTGATGGTGTGGGCACCATAATTACACCACCTTGGAATGGATGAAGTTCTTGAGGTTGTTGAAGCCGGCTTGTATGACCAGAAACTCTTTAAACACGTACTCTTCTCAAATCAGAATGAAAATTAAATCGGAATTCATCGTTGAAAAGCACCAACGATCATTGATGAAGTTCCCAGTTCGTATGTTCATTGTACTCTTCCTCCACGATTTCCTCTTCTCCTCTAGCTGGAACCCGCAGTGATCTACAAGTATGAAGGTTGGCTTCGTGCAATCTCCTTCTCACAGTTTGGTCATTCACAAGCACCTGGTGTTGAGACTGTAGCTTTGGACCAATTAAATCGCCGTAACATTTGCGTAACTGCTGAAATGTAGAAAAATGAAAATGCTGACATTGTATTGCAATGAAATGTCAAATTTTCACAATCAACCCAAGTTGAATAAAAAAAAGTTTAAATTACGATTTTCAACAAAAAAAAAAACGACGGGTTGCACTCCCGGAGTGCCGGTAGAAGTGAAAACTTGAATATTAACGTTATGCATTTTTGATATTTTGGAATGTTTGGGGAATAATTTTGCATTAATTGCTTTAATTATCAATATAAGTACTATCATTTATGTGGTAGAATACAATATTTATTTATTGCGCTATCGTACACAAACATGACAATTTATATTACATTAAAAAGTTTATCTTCTCCTACGCCGCGCCGGCTGTTTACTCTCCATGCGTCTTACAAATTTTCGATCAGGTCACGTGTCCTGACGCGAGTTAAAAAATTTTTTACCCATTATAAAAAAGTGTACACCGCCGCTAAAGAAGTTTTCGTCTTACGAATTTTCGATCAGGTCACGTGTCCTGACGAGAGTTTAACATTTTTTACCCATTACAAAAAAGTGTATAACGCCGCTAAAGAAGTTTTCACTTCAAAAAAAATAATTACTCTATGTAAAAAATTCACTCTCTCTTGTTCCACTCAATTTTAACCACCAACACATTTTTTTAATTTTATTCAATCTGGAATAAAAGAAGAACAATGTGATATTAAAAACATTCTAAAGTGGCCAGTACTTTTTTAGTTGTCAATTTTATTAAAAAATATTCCTATACCGTGCAGATGTGTTTATTTCGTTGATGCAATGTACGGCCAGAAGTAAATAACCCCGAGTGGCTATCAATAATACCTATTATACGCTAATGAAATTGTTGACTGTAATTTTAAGTGCTACTCTTTCACTTCTTTGGCGGTGAAGATCATGATCGTTAAAGCATCGTGAGGAAATCTACATGTTTCAGAAATCACTTAAGTAGGTTTTGATTTATAAATTAAGTTAATACTTTTAAAAGAACAGAACGTAGTTCATCCGTATGGTAATAAAAAACACAAGCTGGTTGCACGATGTTAAGTACTAGGACTAGCCATACTGTCGACAATCTTTTTACGGAAACCGTAAGCGGAATCAAAGTTTACATCAACTATGTCTTTATAACTATTTAGCAGCTTACACAGTCTGGGTAATGGAGAGTTGGAGCCAAAAACAGTTCTGCGGGTTGTAGGCTTCAGTGGAGCTACCGGATGACGCAAGATGTGATCCTTGTGGTACACCTGAGGTTATACTAAAATTATCAGACCGAAAGCCGTTGACCGCAACGTAAAAAGTCCGATCCTTTAGGTACGATGACAACCATGTTAAAAAGAGCCAGCAAACCTATAACACGCTAGTTTATTGAGCAGGATATCATGAGGAACTTTGTCGAAAGCTTTACTAAAATCAGTATACAAGACAACGATCTGCTGTTTACGGTCGATTGTTTGTGTCAGATTCTCGACGAAGCTTGTTAAATTTGTGCTTGTAGACCTGGATTAAACAAATCCATGCTGATTATCTTTAATGTAAAGCTTAAGGTGGTTTTGAATTGAGGAACATACTATAGCCTCAAAGATCTTTGCAAAAGTAGACAAAATTGAGATAGGTCTATAATAGTCTGGGATATCGTTGATGAAAAAGTTAAAAAGGATAGGGCCAAGATGTGATTCTTGTGGTACACCTGAGATTATACTAAAATTATCAGACCGAAAGCCGTTGACCGCAACGTAAAAAGTCCGATCCTCTAGGTATGACGACAACCACGTTAAAAAAGAGCCAGCAAACCCATAACATGCTAGTTTATTGAGCAGGATATCATGAGGAACTTTGTCGAAAGCTTTACTAAAATCAGTATACAAGACAACGATCTGCTGTTTACGGTCGATTGCTTGGGTCAGATTCTCGACGAAGCTTGTTAACACTTAAATTTGTGCTTGTAGACCTGCATTCAACAAATCCATGCTGATTATCTTTAATGTAAAGCTTAAGGTGGTTTTGAATTAAGGGACGTACTACAGCCTCAAAGATCTTTGCAAAATTAGACAAAATTGCGATAGGTCTATAATTTCTAACCAAACATTCGTCATCAGTCTTGTATATTGGTACCACTTTAGCTTCTTTCCATTGTTTGGGAAATATACCAGTGCACAATGATGTATTATATATGTAACACAGCGGGGCGACTAACATGAAAGCACATAATGCTATGAAAAACGGTGGAATGCTGTCTGGTCCAGCCCCTTTAGATCGATCCAACTTTTGTAATTTTCTCAAGAGCGTTTCCTCTGTAATTACCGGTGCGGTAACAGTCTGACTGTAATTATTAATAACATTTAATGAAGGGTGATGATAACAATCAAACACGTTGTTACTGCGACCGTTATTACCATTATATGCTAAAGAAAAATTTGTGGCAAAGATACCACATATAGTAGGGCAGATGTTGTAACAATCTTATTACTCATAGTAGCAGGATAGGACCCTTTTCCGCCACGCTTACTTTTAACGAATGTCCAGAAGAGTTTTGGGTTAGAAATAAGATCCTTTTCCAATTTTTTAATGTAAAAGTTATACCTGTCAATATCCAAAGCTTCACAACGATTACTTACAATTTTAAGTTTTAATTTATCACGCGGGTTTCCGTATATCTTGTAACGCCATCGAAGATTATTCTTTTCATTTAGTCTACGAACTAAATCGTGGTCAAACCATGGTGATTAACGCCCTTTTTTCCCAAAACATTTATAAGGCTCAAATTTACGTATAGTTTCCCATAAACATCGTAAAAGACCCTAACCATTTCATTTACGTCTGTTAGATGTCTAAACATTTCAGCCCAGTGCAGTTTTGATAAGCAATATTTGATTGAGTCGTAGTCAGCTTTGTAGAAGTAAAATTTTTTTGTGTTGGTATTATATGAAAGCTTTTTATCTATATTTAGGGAAAGTACTATATCCAGAGGGGGATGCTGTTTATAAATTTTGCTGAGGACAATGGTTTATTTAGAAACTGTGCACATCTTAATATCGGTCGGAACTAAATCCAAAATAACATTTTTATTATTGGTGATGTTGTTTAATTGGGAAAAGTTATGTAAACTTACAAAGTCAACCAGGTTCTTAGCCAAACCAGGTGCCACATAACTACTACGTTTATCGTTAACTATTTGCCATTTAATGTTTCTTAGATTAAAGTCGCCTACAATAAACATCGAGAGGTTATTCTCGGAAACTGAATTACAGTTGTCTAGAAAATGTTCAAGCACGATGCGACTAACCGGAGAAGGCAAATAAACGGCGCACAGTGCTATATGATGCACTGAACCAGAAGATTCTAGTTCCAAATTTAGCCACAAGTCCTCACATTTAGTCTGCCAAGACAACATTCTTTTTGCTTTTAATTTATTATTTACGGCGACTATGATGCCTCCACCCTCCTTTTTGTTGTTATGAAATCCAGAATTCTCCCTATCCCTTCTGTAAACCGTACATCTATTATCAAAAAGTTCTTCTGAGAATATATTTGAGTTTAACCATGATTCCACTATAACTATTAAATCGTAATTATTGCAACAAACTTGCCTATAAAAATTATGAGTTTGTTTTTAAGCCACGAGCATTTTGATAATACAATTTTAAATTATCGTATTTTCGAGTATATTTAAAAATTAATAACATGCTCAATTAATAAAAAAAGAAACAGGCTTAAGCTTAAATAATTTTACCTAAAGACTTCCTTACGACGATCCTTAATCCATATGAAGTCGGAATCAGGTGATTTACGCATAAAAATGCGTCCATTTCTTACCCAGACGAAGGCATAGCCCATTTTCTTTGCCTTCGTCCTAGCTGCGAAGTGAAGATCTTTAAGGGCCGGTGTTAAGTGTTCTGTGACGTAAATTGCGATATCATCTTTTAGTCCAAATTCAATTTAATTTTGGAGTTGGATTTGTTAAAGGCTGTGACCTTTGCCAAAAAATTATCACGTAGCCTCGGTGCAGTGAACTGTGCAACAATTGCCCTAGGAGTGTGCCATTTGGATATTTTTTTTACGCGGGTGCAATGTTGAATATCAGCATCCGTAACATCACAGCCCTATAGTTTTACCAAGTGTTGTTACAATTTTCATGAGGTTTTCGTGCTTTTTTTCCGGAACGCACTGTATCTCCACATTTTTTGAACGAGCGTTCTGTTCTAGGTAAGCAACTCGTGTGGTAAGATCCATGACCGTGGTTTTGAGGCCTTAATTTTCCTTTTGAATTTCATTAATTTGTTTTTTGTTTTCTCCTGCTCCCTTAACATTTTTCATAAAATTGAATGACATTGATGTTTTAATCTCCGCTATTTCTTTTTCAATCGGTGACAGTTTGAAGTTCAATGCAGACACCAACATGCTATTGAATTTAGTCACCAAGCTGTCGAAGTTGGTTTCCATAGCCTCCTGTATTATGCCACGTACATCGCCGCGCGTAACATTTGTATCCAACTCAATTTTAGGAGGGGAGTTGGGTGCAATTCTTTTATTTCCTCTTTTTAACAATACGTTTCGTGCTGGCGTATTATAGTCATTTTTGTTCTCATTCGGGACATTATTTTCATAAATTGGGCAAAGCCATGAAGAAACAATTTCCGGGGTGATTAATTTTTCATCAAGCATAATGGAAGGCATTCATACATTACGTGCAGTCTATAAAGCTAATATCATCACTTTCCGTCTCGCAGCAGCCCCAATGACTCGAGTTTTTGTTAGCCATTATTTATTATTTAATGTATTTTTTAATATAAATTGCCACTCCAGAAAGTCTATTAAAAGCAAAAAAAGAATGTTACAAATATTTCTGAAGTCAATAGGATTCGAACGTACGTTGTCTGAACGGCGAGTTAATACCCTCTAATATTTCGAAAACATGTGGATTCCGCCACCAAACACCAGAGCAGCGCTGCGGCCTACTTGCTGCGGAACCTTTTCAGAAATTAGAGTAGGTGTGTGCCCAACTGTGGGTTGTGACCCCCTCTAACATTATAGGTTGTAATATGTTACTTTACTGTTTTATCTGCGGCCTTTTTGCTCACATAGTTAACATCAAAACGTTAGTTGTCTTGTAGTTCATTAGTAGTAGTAGTACATTGCGTTGTATGTTTCTTGAGTAGCTCATAAAGAATAGCTATATAGAATACGACGCAATGTACTATAAAGTGACTATCACTTTGATGCTGCCAACGAAGTTCTCTTAATCTTAATCACTTAATCTTAATCATTGGTGCGTCTGTAAGCTATAGTGTAACTTTTGAACGAGTTGATCTATTAAGGTCATATTCACACAGTATATTATTTGTTTCGTCAATACTATGGTTCATACTCGTAGATATACCTTCAGATTCATTCAGATTTTATATTTATGGAGCAAACTGATTTATATTCATAATATATGTTGAGTTAGTGAAAGGGAAAAAAACATAAAATCTTGGACCCAATAGGTGGCGCTGTGGTCAAGTAATTAATAAATTTCATATTTACACTGTAAAAATTCCGGAGCTGGAGTAAATTAGGAGTTTCTGGGGCTGGAGCCTAACCAATTAATCATCATCATCATCATCATTACAGCCCTTCACAAGTCCACGGCTGAACATAGGCCTCCCCCAAGGAATATCACAAAGCACGGTCCTGAGCCTGGCCTGACTTCCTGCAAACTAACCAATTAATATAATTTAAAAAAAAACAGTGGAACTGTATCGTGTATTTTTGTATTAGCAGAACTTGATGTAAAGTATGTAAAAAAATGTTGTTTAACTGGTTTTTGGTTGATTAATTAATTGTTAAACTTGGTCATTTAATAACATCAACGTCTGTAATCGGTTTCATCGTTCATTAAAACAATTGTAGTGAATGATTCAACAAATTAACCTTAATGTTGTGTTTTGTGTGGTCAGTGTAGAGAACTGGAGTCTCTTTTTACTTTAAACGAGGCTTTACATCCTATTCCTTAGGGGTGACAACGCATCTGTATTTTGATTCTTAATCGAGGATAAATTGGCCACATCATCTAATTATTTTCAGGTGGACTGTGTGCTCGTTGGTCACCCTTATGCCATAAAAAAAACAAATAGTCTATATTGAATATCATTTATTTACTTAAAATTTAAATATATATTATAAGTAAAAACTTATATTGTCATAGACTATACTGGAGTGTAGTGCCAAGAAGGCTGGCTGCGTTTCCTCGCTGAATATCTAAGTCTTTGAGCGAGAAAAGAACTTGGCCTGTTATCATCTTCTCTACTTGTGTCATCACCAGCGACGATCAGTCGCGGCTACCGCTTCTTTGGCGTTATCATCGTTACGTGAACCACACGGACCAATAGTCTTTATAGCAACTGTCGACCCTGTCGGATTCCTACGGCTATGCGCAAGCTCTCCCCATTCCCATCAAGTAATATGCCGAGATTACTTGATGGTAAAGCGTATAACCCGTGACTATTTTTATGATTCCTTAATCGAAATAGCTAGAGAGTGGGCGTGATCTTGTTCATTATGGAAATTATGAAATAAATCTTTCTTCAGATTCCGTACCAATGGAATATCCCCCTGTTTTTGTTAGATAAATAATTTCGCTGGGATAGAGCGTTTGCCATTTCGGCCTTACCTCCACGGCAATGCACAGGTTTATTGATTATTTAAAATTATGTTACTGTCACTAGTATATGCACGGAAGCAAGGAAAGCCGCTGGAGAGATTTCTAAATATTATAAAATATAACACATATAAAATTGTTAACAAATAAAAAGTCATTTGTAATATCAAAATATGTCACAATAACAGTGTGGCGACGCTGTCGTCGCGCCACAAGCGAAATACACCGAAGCCTAAATCACGTTATCAACATTCCGAATCATAAACAGCATATATAGAACATCTCTGAACTATCACACGGAGTGTCGGCCGCTCCCCGGGCAGAACACCTTGCCCGGCGGGAGATCTCCCCTTTTCCTTCACGGCCACAGTGGTGACCCCGACGTGATCTGAACACTAAACCAACAATCTTCGGAAACTTCAAGCTTCATCATCGTCATAAAATACCCCACCTATTCGCTCCCGAGCAGATATCGTCCGCAGTCTTCATATCCTGCAAGCCATCTAGCTTCACAAGGTTCATCGCAACACTGGAATAATAATGCTTTCTGTTCCTTCAAGCTACTCTCTGCGCTATACAGTGTTCGGCACGGCTCTGAGCCTTACTGCTCGCCTCTGCTTCAAGTCACTCTCGCAGATTACTTGCCTTCTTCTCGATTCACCGCAGACTACAAGGCAATCTCCTGGCACTTGCACATTCGTCGACAACTCGACTGCACTATCGACCTCCGGTCTGAGCAGGGGGTGATGTGGCGGCGCTGTCGTCGCGCCACAAGCGAAATACACCGAAGCCTAAATCACGCTATCAACATTCCGAATCATAAACAGCATATATAGAACATCTCCGAACTATCACACGGAGTGTCGGCCGCTCCCCGGGCAGAACACCTTGCCCGGCGGGAGATCTCCCCTTGTGCATATGAAAGTATATTCAGTCCTCGTAACATAAACACAGTTTTTAAATTCTTGTCTGTCTATCTGTTTGTTTCGGTTGATCTCCAAAATGGCTAGATCGATTTTAACGGGACTTTAATTGGCAGATAGTTGATGTAATAAGGAATAACTTTTTTCTGCGCAAAAAAAATCAATGAAATCCAGTCTTAATAATTTACACGCGGGTGAAGTCAAGGTAAGACCTCTGAACCTGCTGAACACCGAGAGCAGAATCTTTAATGTGATTCTTGCAAAACAATTTAGTATTTTGACTATAACATTGCCAAACGTAATGATAGATTTCCTTATCTATAGAGTTAAAAGCATTTCTCAGGACAACATTAAGAACATGGGTTCAGAGTTAGTTCAAAAATGTACGCAATGTACCGCCGCATTATAGGACCAAACGGTGCGTTCCATCTCAAAAATCTATAACTTTTCTACATTTTGGAATGGAATTTTTGGTGTACGTATTCCTGAACATTTATTAAAACACCGCTACTTTAAAAACTTCATTTATTTAGTAAAAAATTACAAAACCTTAATTTTGAAATTAGAAGAAGAATCATAATTATCACAACTGGTTATATGATTAAAAGAAAGAAAGGTTAAATGATTAAAAGAAAATAAAGTTAAGGTTAAATGATCCTCACAAAAAAATATTATGCGAAAATATTTTTTCAAATATTTAATACCTATGATATTATGTGCTTACTTGTTAAAAAAAGTATTTTATTTAAGCAAAAAAAAGTATCCATAAATGACATAAATAAGTGCAAATAACGAGAATCGTAAATTTATTTTTTTCACTTAGTTGACATTTTCGTTTCTAGCTCGAAATGGTGCGGTAATGACGGAGGTTTTCTTTTATTTGCCTGTATTATTGAATAGTTAACGAATTAAAAAAAATCATTAACTCGAAATAGACAGCTATCGGCAACAAGAAAACCTCAATTTGAAAATCAAAATGATAGAAAATTTCCTAATGAACCTTAATAATAAAATTAAAAAAAAATATTTCTTATATAAACTAACCTCAGGTATCCTGAGCAATGCCAAAACGAAAATCGAAAATGTATTAATACTATATGAAAAATTTAAAAAATATCTTAAGTTGAAATTTCAATTGTTCTGGCGGTGATTGAACTCGGGTGCTATCAAATTCATGGTTAGTCCCCCATATTAAAATACCTAGAGTATTATCAAAATTGGCTGGCTACGGTGGCGACCATGCTAACGGTGGGGCAGGGGGTGCTAAGAATCTCCGGTGGAGGTTCGGTTGCCACCTACGACGACTCGACCTGGCAACATATAACTACACCCTGAGGAGATACTGGAGCTGGAAGAAGAGGTAGACAAGATGCGCTGGCATATTTTTGTATTATCTGAGATCCGATGAGAGGAGGAGGACACGGCAATCCTCGAGTCAGGCAACTTGTTCTACCACCGGGAGGACGACCATCTGTCCCAAGGAGGTGTCGGATTTATCGTCCACAAGTCTTTCATCAACAACGTTGTAAAGATTGGGAGTGTGTCGACGAGGGTCGCGTACCTGATATCCTGATACTCAGAATCACCAAACGGTATTCGCTGAAGGTCATACAGGTTTAAGCACCAACCTCGGCACATCCCGATGAGGAGGTGGAGGAAATGTATGAGGATATTTCCAGAGCCATGCATTCCTCCAAAACCCACTACATGGTGTTGATGGGAGACTTCAACGCAAAACTAGGCACAAGAGAAAGCGGTGAGCTGAAGGTAGGGAAATTTGAAGTAGGGCAACGGAACCGAAGGGGCCAGCAGCTGGCCGACTTTATGGAGAAAGAGGGACTCTTTATGATGAACTCTTTCTTCCAGAAACGGCCCCACAGGAAGTGGACCTGGTCGAGCCCCGACGGTTCGACAAAAAATGAGATTGACTTCATTATGACGACCAGACGCCAACTGTTCAGTGATGTCTCAGTGATCGCAAGGGTGAAAACTGGCAGCGATCACCGAATGGTTAGAGGCACACTGAACCTAAACGTTAAGTTGGAGAGGTCTCGTCTAATGAAGCTAACGCTCCGTCCCCCTCATGCTCTAATCTAGAATCCCGAAAACTTTCA